AAATATATAGAAAAAAGAACATCCAAGCTACATCCCTAAATTCTTATTTTTAGAAGGTTCTTCCTCTCAGTGTAGAAATTCAACTTCTTTTGTTGGGTAACTGGTATCTGGTTGCGATAAAATTCACTTCAGAGCTTCGCCCAGAACTTTGTTTTGTGCGAATGCAAATTGCTCATACGCCATGTGGACCAACGACACGAGCAGCAGAAATGGCGCTTATTAAAGTTTGACTTGTACTTTTGGAGGATTTTTGTTTTTTATACCCGATACTCAAAATGAGTATTGGGGTATATTAGATTTGTGGTAAAAGTGTATGTGTGTAACGTCCAGAAGGAATCGTTTCCGACCCCATAAAGTATATATATTCTTGATCAGCATCAATAGCCGAGTCGATTGAGCCATGTCTGTCTGTCCGTCCGTCCGTCTGTCCGTCTGTCCGTCCGTCCGTCTGTCCGTCTGTCCGTCCCCTTCAGCGCCTAATGCTCAAAGACTATAAGAGCCAGAGCAACGATGTTTTGGATCCAGACTTCTGTGATATGTCACTGCTACAAAAATATTTCAAAACTTTGCCCCGCCCACTTCCGCCCCCACAAAGGGCGAAAATCTGTGGCATCCACAATTTTAAAGATAAGATAAAACCAAAAACGCAGAATCGTAGAGAATGACCATATCTTATAGACTGCAGAATCTTAATTGGATCGTATTATTATTATAGCCAGCATCAAGAAAACAATTTCATTTTTTCTCGCCCTGTCTCTCTCTAACACACACGTAGCATAGGCGGCTTTGCTTAGAGTAAAACATTAGCGCCTAGATCTCAGAGACTATAAAAGCTAGAGCAACCAAATTTGGTATCCACACTCCTAATATATCGGACCGAGACGAGTTTGTTTCCAAATTTCGCCACACCCCCTTCCGCCACCACAAGGAATGCAAATCTGGGGATATTCACAAATCTCAGAGACTATTAAAGCTAGAGTAACCAAATTTGGTATCCGCACTTCTGTTAGATCTCACTATAAAACATATATCTCAAAATTTCGCCCCACCCCCTTCCGCCCCCACAAAGGACGAAAATCTGTTGCATCCACAATATTGCAGATTCGAGAAAACTAAAAACGCAGAATCATAGATAACGACCATATCTATCAGACTGCTGAATCTGGATCAGATCAGATCATTTTTATAGCGAAAGGAAACAAATCAATTTGCACTGGCTACGCAGCGCCCGACGTCACGCTCAGACTGATTTTCTGTCTCTCTCGCACGCACTCTTTGTCGTGTCGATTAATATAAGCGGCGTCTGCCGGAGGAGAGCCATACTGACTTAGTATCGGGTATAACTGTAGAGTTGCGGTGTCCGCAGCAACTCACAACGTTCCCCCTCGTTTTTTTTAATTTTTCTGGAGTGTATGTGTGGGAGGAGATATCGGTGCAGGTGGAGGCGGAGGTGCAGTGAGGCAAAGTTAAACTTTTGGATAACAAAAATTAAGCATTGTCGTTTGCGTTCCATGATAATTGGGAACAATAGAGGCAGGCAAGAGATGAAAGAGAGTGGAGCGGGGGGCAAACCATGTTAATGCTTCCGCATTTGCGTTCAGCTGCAACATTGCACCGATGCCGGGGCATGTGTGTGTCTGTGTCTTACGTCCTGTGTCCTGTGTTCTGTGTTCTGTACACATGCAGAAGTCTGTGTGTACCAGCGACATTCACGCCTCGCTGCACTTTTTACATGCTGCATGTTGCCTGCGGGCATTAAGTGTGATTTTATGCGATTTGTACCAGGCAAACACCCGCACAAACCGCTTCCACTCCCCATCGGCCACACCCCCACAAACACCTCCCACAGAGGCTACGAGGAAAAACCGCAGCAGCAGCAGCCGCAATAGCAGTAGCAGCGGTGGCAATGCCAAGCCCTTGCCGCCTCCTCCTGCACAGTTCTTTGCTAATTTACATTTGACAAATGTTTTGCATGCTACAAAATTTTTGCCACTGCTGCGACTACGACGACGACGACGACTACGACTAGGACGAGGACTGCTGTTCGTTAGCCTGGCCCAATCCCCGTCTCCGGCCTTGCCCCTGGGTGTTTTGTTAGCTGCATTCGTTTTCATTTGGTTTCTCTGCTGACATTGTTTACAGTTCAACTTGGCTTGGAAATTAGTAAAAATCTCACACGAGCACCCCCTACGAGGGAGGGAAACAATAAAACTGCAAATAAAGCGAATCGAAAAAAACAAGAGGAAACAAAGATACAAGATACAAGAACGAGCAGCTGCAGAACATTTTCTAAAACAAATTTAAATTGATGTAAAACAAAGGTATATGGTTAGGAACATCTACACTGAGGGGATACACCATCGCCTATAGAGAACCGACAACTAAGAACATATAAAAAATTATATCATAATAAGAAGGTGAAGGTGAGCAATCCAATTGCGAATTGGATCGGGATTTCAGGTGAAATAAAATATACCTTACGTTGGACTATAATTTTGACATTCTTTACATTTTTTCTGGTTATTTATAGTAGCTACTCGTATATCATTTTTCAACTTTTTCTCCGTGTAATCACATTCCTGTTCTCAAAGTGAAATCTTAGATATATGGTTCAGCCGGCTCCAGAGTTTATTGCTGCAATCGCTGTAGGTCCTCCGACAATCAGCGCCAGCACGTCCCCCGTCCCTGGCATGCAGATACTTTCCTGCCACATTATCCAAGGGAGGTCTATGCGACAAAGTGGATTGAATGAGAGGAGAAAACCCTTCTTAAAAAGTGAAATGTACTTACACCAAGACCGCATTCAGAATCTCGCTGAAAATGTTGCTCTGCTGGAAGGGGCGTTGAGATATCTCGCAGATGCTTCTCAGCAGGCACACTCCACCGTTTTCGGCGTCCAACCTGAAAGAACATTTTGGAGACTACGTGAACCCAATTTTACATCATCTACTCACTGTTCCAGGCTAGTTTCAATGACATCGTACAGCCAAGTGCGGGTCTCGTCCTGTCTAAGTTGTGTTTGCATATCTCTACGCCACTCCCTGGCCACGGACTCAAAGGTTGAGGTATTCCAGAAACTCCACCAATATATGGGCACAGGTGGGGGTGTAAATTGGTTTTGGTAGTTGACGAAACCCCAAACAGATAGCACAGTGTCCTCCTGCGGAATGGGATACGCTATTCCACAGACAAACTGGGAGAGAAAACCAACTGAACAATCGATTTCCACATGTTTTTATTAATGTCCCACACCTTGAGCACGCCTTGACCATCGAAGAGTGCCACTCGCTTCGAGCGACTCAGACTAAGGTTAGATGAAGATGTGGCATTCCCAGCTGGTGTGAACAGGCTATTGGCGGCACCACTGCATCCATCCACAGCCACAAGAAGCAGCAGCAGGGCGACGGGAACCATCAGCTCCAACCTCTGGCTGCCGGAGTGCATGGTCAACTAATTTTTGCAGCTCTTGCAACTTGTGGCAGCGAGGCCAAATTACATACATATTTAAGTTTACTCAAGAAATTTACAGACGAAGAATTACAAAGTTCACAGAAAAGCTACAGCTTTACACTGGCAAATAGTTTGGTATGCTGCAAGTCTTTCATCTAAAGCCAACAACGACAGTTGTCTTTCCAGTTGTGCAAAAACGTTAGCCAATGTGTACATCAAACAGTATGTACCCTATTTCTATCTACCACTATCAAAAGATACCCTTTGCTGAAATATCCTATGCTGTTTAGTTCCTAATCGAATTGGTTTGGGCTCGAGCCTTGCGATAATTTTAAAGTATATTTTTTGAATAGGTACATGTTATGTTTAATCAGTGTAAAAACATACATAAGAAAATCTTAAGTGGAAACTGTAGTTTATACACACGAAATATCACTGTAAGCCAGTAACGCCCTCAGTTACAACCCATCAGCGTCGACAAAGACATCGCCCTGAATTCCACGTAGGCCAGAAACCAATCGCCTCTAGGCCAGGACTTAAAAGCCGCTACAGTCTCTGTACTGAATGTGACACCTTTCGTGTTCCCCCTGTGCCTCTCTGTGCTGAAAGCACCTGCGGCTCTCTTTGACTGCCGTCTGTGTTGCTGCCCACAACAAGATCTGTGCCTGCAGCGTTGATTCTGGCGGTCCTTTTGTTCTGGCTTGACACAGTACATTGATTGGTGTCACCTCGGTTGTCCACACAAAAAGGTGGAAAAGTCAGGGGCCACCAAACCGTTTTCTACTCAACTTTGATTTCAACGAGTAATTGTGAAAAGTTTTTGGCTAACAAAACAGTGTACGTGACACTGCTGAAAATCCAATGGAACAAGGAATATAGCGTTTCCAAATAGGATGGATAGCTTAGACATATTTGAGGGAATAAAAGTGCAATGAAAATACGGAAATGTAAATAATAGTCATATATTTTCCAAAAGGCCAATATATGCAGCATGGAGTGAAAGATGTATGTGTTTTATCTATCGAATGGTGGTAGTGATTAAAATGTTTCCGTTCCTCTATAGAGTTTTCCCATTTATTCAGCAATAAATCAAGTGCTAGATTCATTAAATACTCGTATTATTTATTATTGCATGTGCTGTATTTGTTGCTAACAGGCGACCTGTCGTCACAAATGCAACACCAATCAGAGACTTTTTTCGTTACACAATTAGTCAACGATTTATGGATAAATGAAAGAAAAAACCGTTCTATATTGCTGCATGGGCTATAAATGGATCGACCCAAAGTGGGCAACTATTTAGCACCTTTTAAAGAGCACTTTAAATGACACAAAAACGAGTTAACGACACTCAATTGGGTGCTAATTGTACAATTAAACTTTGCTGACCAAACTGGACCCAGATCGAAGTGCCGCGGGCATCCATAGAGTATGTCCGAGTAGCAGGGATTGTGCGGCGACGGTTGTGCCATCATCAGTTCGACTCGGACAGCTAATGGCATCAACATATCGTAAAAATAAAAAAAAAAAGTACGGACCAAGCCAAACCAAACCAAATCGAGAGCCCCATTCGACCGGACTCGTCGGTGCCTCTAATGGTAATTATCTGCTTCATAAATTCTCGTTCAATTGCGCTCAGAGCGGCGGCATTCCGGCATGGAAGTGTTTTAATTGTGGAACCGCTGGATCCTGGTTCGGGGTCGGCGTCGGGTCGGATCCATTCCCCATTTCTCTCGCATCGAATGTTGTTGAAAATTGCATTAATTTAACGCATGATTGGCAGAGCCAGAGCAAATGGAGGAAGCGAGCGTCACAGATACGAAGTGGAGTGAAATTATGCAAATTTCGCGTTATTTTTTTTCCTTTTCGAATGTGAGTGCCCCAGGCCAAAGAGATGCCAAAGCATTGACTGTTCAATTGCTCAATTACACTGGCCCACAAATGAGTGGAATTACGAGGAGTGGTATCTAAATTCAAAGGAACATAAAATATTTAAGAATTGTTTGGCTTAAGTCTTTATATAAAGTACTTATAAGTTGGTTGAAAATATGGATGGACTCAGAACCTTGTTGGCAGGTGTTACTTTAGTAACTTTTGCTCGTTTTCATTCCAGAAAAATGGCAAAAACAATCAGACTAATAGGATGTGCTGCTGGAGTCACTGCGATGCTAATTTTGCTGCTGCCACTTTGCCTGCTCCGAAATGACAGGCCAAAGGCGAACGGAGATGGTAACTCCAATAGATCACATCAGGTGGTCAGTCCGACTCCAGCTCCTGCTCCTGCTCCTGCTACTCTTACTACTTCTACGGACGGTGCCCCATTCAACGATTCATGGCGCCACCATATGCTGCGACTGCATCGACAGAAGCGCTATCTGCTCTTCCCGGAGGGCAGCTCGTTCCAGCTGGTCTTCGACATAATCATACCCATTGTAGACTACACGAACTACGCCATCCTGGGCATCACATGTGCCGTGGCCTGGGAGCTGCCCAGCAAGGCGCCCAGCGAGCTGATTGAAAACGTGCTCACTCGCATCAATGACGGCACCATCGGAACTGTCCGGCGCAACGGCAGCGCCCCCGACCCCGAGAAGGACTCCAATCGAAGCCCTGCTAATTGGCAGCCAGTGCACGCACCATCGGCAGTACGGACATCGCAGCCGCGGACACCAGATCGCCAGCCAGCGCATACAGCCAATAGCCACGGCTCCTACTACACGAACATCCTGCGCGGCTCCGGCTCGGCAGGCACTTCTGCATATGCAAATGCGAATTGGAATGCAAATGCAAATGGACAGCAGCAGCTACAGGCGACGTTGCCGGGTACGGCTCCAGGTCCGGCTAATTGGCATGCGCGACAGTCGGTCGCAAAGTGGCAGCGACCGCGGACGGGAGACCCACCGCCACCGCCGGACAATTGGTGGCGGCGCAACAAGGACCGGCTGCAGCAGAATTGGCGTGAAAAGCAGGCCATGTGGAGCCCCAGTGCTGGCCAGTCAAAGTGGGAGTGAGTAAGAGGATGGCAATGTTGATATTTTCCGAAATCTATATACTCATACACTTATGTTATATTCATTCCCTCCATAGCATCGACTACAGCCAACGTCCTCGCCGATTACTGAAATCGCCGCCACAGCACCACATTTATCCTGTTTTCGGCAAGCGACGGCGCCGACGACGTCGGAGTCTGGAGCAGGATCCCCTATTTGAACGCCTCCATTTGCAGCAACATCTCAGCTCTCGGCAGCTGCTCTTTGGCAAAATCGAACGGCTTTACAAGGCGTAAGTGAAATCTTATCATCTCGAAACTTTTGTAAACTTTGATTTACTGAATCCTTCGCCTCCTCCCTCTACCCACAGTCAGCAACTCAATGGAACGGCCTGTGTGCTCCGAGCTCTTTGTGAGTCTGCCCAGAGGCAGCAGCAATCAGACGGAGGCGAAGGTGGAGGCGCGAAGGCTTTTCGACCGCAGAGCTTTATCATTGAACTGCTGTCGGCCATCTTTCAGCTGCCTGCCAGCAATGATGGGGATGAGGTGGAGGCACTGGCCCTGAAGCACATTTCGCCGCATTACCTGGAGGCCCATCGACAACAGGGAAACTGTCTGCAACTCTACAGCGATTGTGGGCATGCATTTTGGTTCGAATAAACTGCAAATGATATTCAAATTACAGATTATTATTAGTTTATGAATTTTTATTAATTGAAAATGGAGAATAAGATTAAGATCTGCCAAAAAAGATATAATTCGGTGGGGTCAAAATAGAATGAGTTCCAGATAATGCATTTTTGTATGGACTCAGAGAAAAATGGCATTCGATTTTTAAATAAAAACATAGTCAAATCAAATAGAATTTACTTTGAATTAGATATAAATGCAGGAATATATTGTAGGAAATATATTTAATCTAAATATGAAAATATTTAATTTAAATATAACAATTATTATTTTAAATATTTTCATATTAATGTCCACTTCCATTTCCACTTTAGGTGCAACTATGATCTATGTCTACGTTTCTATTTTATCTATCTTTCCCAGATGCCGCATTTTCTGTGACACTCCTCTAATTTTTGTTGATTTAGCTCTTTTTTGTATCCCTCAAAGATAAGACTTAGGGTTTTATTAAAATACTACTCTTTGCTTGAAAGAAAGATTGTTAATTTTCTGTACGCAATAAAAGATCTATCCTGTCATGCTCTTTGCAGCTCACCCATAAAGCCACTCCGATATTTTAGAGCAAGGCAATAAGCCCGATTATTCAAAAGTCATTTGAAAGTTCCTTCGTTTCGCAGCTGAAAGCATTCCACGAGTCAAGACGACCTTCTGTCCAAGTTTATCCCCTATACAGAGGGAAAAAAAACTGCAACTAGTGATCACATTACTTCAACTTGAATTCCTCAGTCTCAGCCCTCAGCTCCAGCTTCAGCATCGGCATCTTCAGCATCTGCGAGGTAAAGAGAAAGACAGAAGTGTGCTACTTTTGAGATAGAAAGAAAAAAGTTGGAAAACAGAGCAGAAGCCAGAAGTTGGGAGCGTGAAAAAGTAATTTGAACCTTTAAATAGTCCAATGAGCGCTCACGGACAAGACGCAAGACAAACTACTCGCCAAAACACCAGAGACGAAAAGACGAGAAGTGTTAAAACTAATGAAAGAAACAAAAGCAGAGGAAAGGAAAGAACTTTAACGAACGTAGCTCAAACTCAAACATGAAAGTTTCTTCTGGCCAAAAGCGGCAGAGTGTTGCCGGGAAGAAGGCCAATGGAGAAGCAGAGTGTTTTACAATTAACAAGCGAGCAGCAACAACAGCCACGCCACGGTCTTACAATGGTCAGTGCCGTGAGACTTTGGCTGACAGTTGGCGTATAGACAACGCGTGGACCGCAAGTGGAGAGGAGATGTGCATCACCAGCAGCAGCAGACCCAGCAGCGGGAGGAGCTGCAGAGCCATTTCACCCATCTGCCATGGTTTCCTATTCGCTTTGGCGCTGATTCTGCCATGTCTCGATGCCGCCCACGGAGATGAATTGAAAGCCAGTGCATCCGTGGAGCACGCACCAGCAGCCATCCCATCACTCGGCCTAGACAATGCAGACAGCAGCCTGGAGCAGCTCATCGAGTTGAAGCTGAACGAGTCGTCCAGAAGAGCCACGCAGTCGAATGAGCTGTTGTCCAGGAAACGGCGCTATTTGGTATTTCCGGAGGGCAGCTCCTTTCAGATGGGTAAGCGAGCACCAGCCAGCACTCAGCTATCATAAGCGATGCAAATTACACGCCTCACTTGCCTCTACCCCTGCCTCTGTCTTGTCTCCCCTTCCGTTCTGTGTTCAGTGTACGATGAGATTGTGGGCGTTGTGGACCACACCAACTATCTGATTCTCGGCATCACTGTGGCCTTAGCCTGGGAGTTGCCGAGCAAGCCGCCCAGCGAGGAACTGGATGATCTGCTGACCAAACTGGAAGACGGTACCCTGGATATCAGTCGCAACGACACCGTTTCAAACATAACCTATGTGGACGATGCTCCGGAAACAACCACCAAGGCGACGTACTACAAACCTAACTATATCAACATAAGCTCTGGCTCTGTGTCTGGCTCTGGAAGTGGCAGCAATTCATACTACAGCTCATCGCCTGTCTTTCGTACCCCCATGCATCCGTCCCATCAATATGCGGACAGTTATTACAGCCGCCCCAAGGGTGGCAGGCGGAAGGACAACCACTACTACTACTACAACAACCGGCCTGGGGCTAGCTCCAGCAATCCGTTCTCCAAGTGGTCAAGACCCTACTCGCCAGCCCAGAACTCCCGCTATCCCTACTGGGCTCTGTCCTCGCGGTAAGTATCCGGGAAATACATAACTCTCACTTCAGCTCATGCCGCCTCATTCTGACAGACTCAAAGATCGCTATTATGGCCAGCAGTCACAACGGACGGCACCACCACAGGCCCAGAGACGACAGGACCCGCCAACGACCACTACTAGACCCACCCGGAAGCCGGCGCCACGTCATCATCACATATATCCGGTTTTTGGCAAGCGCAGTCTGCCGGATGCAGCCAATCCTCATCAACGTCAGCGACGCAGTGGAGTGGCAAGCCCCCATGAGGATGGTATTAGCAGGCTGGAACAGCTGCAGATCAAGCACCATCGAAGAAGTCGACAGTCGCTGTATGAACGCATTGAAAAGTATTTGGATAAGTAAGTAGATGGGAAACAATAGGATAAGTGGTTCCAACTAAAGTTACCTACTCTATCTGGCATATTCTTATGTTCATTCCTCCCCCTAGACGCGGCCACCCTGGCTATCAGTGTGTCCTTCGTACCCTTTGTGAAACTGGGCAAAAATCGAAGCAAGACCAAGAGCCAGGCACCTTTGTGGGCGAACTGATGCGTGCGGTGTTCACCATACCCGAGGCTTTGGACAACGAGCCTGTGGCCTATCGAGACACCCATTACGATAAGGCCCATGCCTCTAGCGGGGACTGTGCCGCACTCTATCCCGAGTGCAAACAGTCCATGTGGCAGGCCCATTTCATACAATAAAATTCCATTCCCCAAGTGTTCTGTTCCGATTGTGTTTTATTTACCGCCCAGCAGCCAGGCCAGAATGTTGACTTTACACGAATCGCGGAACTGTCGATCGCAATCGTCCGGCTCCAGGCGCATAGTCCGGCTATAGTCATCCTCCACACCCGATATGGTGGGCAACCTAATGGCAGATGTGTATCTTAGAAAATGGTAAAATATGAGCAACATTCACTTACGTGAAGATCAGGCGAACAATGTCCTGTATCATAGAATATCCTTGCGGCAAGAGCAAACGCTTACTATCACAAATTGCTCGAAGGACACAGGCCTTGGTATCGATTCCTAGACTGTAGGGATAACCAGAATATCAGAACTATGGGTAGGGATGGTAAAACTAAAACTTACAGTTTACTGAACCCATCGAAATGCTCGAACAATTGTCGACGATCGCGATGTCCATTATAATGTCGCCAGTCTTCCACATGTTCCAGTTCCGGATAGTGCGTAGGCTTGTGCGGTGCCATGTCTGGATCGTAGGGATCTACAAAATGCTCGGACGCGACTGACCTAACATCTTGATATGGTGTCACCTCGGGATCGTAATACTCCCCATCTACTACCGATCTGTGCCATCGTTTCGACCACTGAGGCGACTCCGTTGTCCATTTGCTCCATCTCTCGGGCTGGCTGTACTTTTCATATTTCTGTGCTGCCGGCGACCAGTTCTCATAGCGTTGTCCGTACTTTGACCATTGTTGCCACCTTCCAGGATCGACATAGGTTGGCCTTGGGGGCCTGACATCGATGCGTGAGTGTAGCCTCATCGGTGTGGGTTTTTTCAAAGGCGTAGCCTTGAATCTCCAATTTGTACCCGGTATCCAAACATACGTTGGCTCTGTCGGGGTCTTTGGCTTCTGCGTTGTTGTCGTCCTGGCTCTGTAACGCTTCGGGTAGACATCCTCCCGTTTTGTGGGAACGGGATAGTAGCAGGCCTGCTCAATGTTCATGGACACACCTTTGGGAAACGCTGATATCAATCCCTTGCTTAGCTGTCCCGTAAACTTTAAATTGGAGCCCGGGGGAAAGAGTACAAAGCGCTTTCGACGCGAAAAGACGCGTTCAACTACATGATTCAGCTCTGTCTGATTTTTCTCAGCCTGGGCTAAGGCCAAGGCGAGCAATTGTATGGTTAAGATGATCACCAGAACGCACCGCATAGCAGAACACCACTGATTGAGAGATCGAGATCTGTGGCAGCTTGTGCCGATCAGACTACAATTGATTTGTTAACTAGTAAATGGAAATCAATGAGGTTCTGGGTGTGAATTGTATAGTAAATACTTGAAAAAGCTTTCGGCTTTGAGTTCACTGGAAGAGTTCTGTAGAAAAAAAACAAACAAAAGTTTTTTTTTATTGGGTGTGTAACATGGGTAAGAAATGGTAGTACCATCTACTTAGATTTCTTTATTTTCTGCCCTGATATCCATAGATTCTAGTGGAAATTTTTCTAATGAAATTTACGATTCGATAAATATATACCAAAAGATTTGCTCCGAGAGTGAAAATATTAAAGTGGTTTCACTTACATTTTCACATTAATATGAAAATACTTTATTTAAATACTTTTTATATTTAAATTAAAAATATTTGACATTTAAATTAAATATATTTCATATTTATAATTTATAAAGTTCATATATAAAATAAGTATTTTTAAATTTCAATTAATCATATCTCCATTACATATATTTCCTATGAATTTAATATGGTATATTTATTTTCACTGGTTTTACATTTATGTCCGTATTAAAAATGATAAAATAAATGTACATTCAAATAAAATGTAATCCAAATTTGTTTATTATTTCATTTAAAAACGGAAAATTCAATTTAATTATGGTTTTGCTTCTTTCTCGGAGTGTTCATGGAATGAAATTATTTATTCTACTCTACCGCTCAGCAGCCATATCAATAAGTTCATATTACATTTAGTTTTTAGTTCGGAAGCACAGGCATCGGCATCTTGATCCATAAGTCGACTATATTCATCCTCCAGACCATCTAGTCGAGGCATACTGAAAACAAACATCTTCGTCAATCATTCTGAGAAGGGAAAGGTTGTTTAAAACTCACGTGAAAACCACGCGCAGCATATCCTGCAACATGGAATATCCAGGAGGCAGAAGCAGACGTTTGCTGTCACAGATGGTTCGCAATATGCAGGACTTCATGTCAAGGTTAAACCTTTAAGAGGGGAAATGTAGTAAGCAAATGAATAGAAATAAAAGCTTAATGTGTACCCACAAGGAACTCAGTTTGGTGAAGCGATCGAACAGATCCCTCCGATCTCTGTGGCCATTATACTGATACGACTTCCAAGCACGGCTGGGTGTGGCGGGGATCAACTTGGCTCTCCACTGGGGAGCTGGTGTTATCCACCTGGATTGATCTTGTCCTTTCCAGGGTCGATTTTGCCACTTTTGTTCTTGCAGCGTGGCATATTCACTCCACTGTTTCCACTTGGCTGGATTGGCATAGCTTTCATCATCGATTCGATGCGTCTTAGGGGGTGATTGTCGCCACTTGGGTTCGGGCAAGGTCTGGGCCTTGAAACGCCAATCAGTACCGGGTATATACACATACGAATCGGGTAGTTTAACTGGTTTCTTTGTTGTCGTTTTCGGCAAATACCGCTTGGGATATATATCATTTACCGATCCAGGCACAGGAAAATATACAGCTTCCTCCAGCACAAATGTGATGCCACGCGGATAACTTGACAGCAGTCCTGTGGCTAAGTTGCAGGTGAACTTCAAGAATGTACCTGGCGGAAATATAACAGCTCTTCTTTTTCGGCTAAACACTCGTTCTACAATAGAATTCAGTTGTGTTTTCTTTTCTTTGGCTAGCCCTTGTCCCAGACTTGGAGGAAATCCAGCAGACAATACCAGAAATACAAAGATCTGCGCTCGTAGCATCTTAAGTGTCCACGAGCTTGAGATTCAACTGAAAATTATAATAAAATGAGCCAAGGTATTCACTTGAGCTATTCGGGAGCTGTAAAGAGATAGCACAAATATTTACCCAGCACTGATAGATGTCTTGATTGATGTCCGACCCAATTCCTGCAGCAATTGTTGGACTGGTGTACTTGGGATTTGACCAGTTTCCGTTTCTGACTCAAGCCGTACAGTTCTGCGTGATCTCAAAATGAAACTCATTGGCTTAGCATCATTTATTTGCATCTTTTCTTTTGTGGAATACTCGGAATCTTTACTCTGGCCATCATCCTCAAATTTGGGTGTAAGTAATAGCAGATGGGAATTCCAGGAGTATAATTCTCAATTTTCATTTTTAGCTAACTCTTTCAGTTTCTACGCCCATTGCCGAACTGTACCCAGAGCGTCGCATACTAATCGATTGGTGTTTCGCCATCTCCTACAACTATCCATACAAACTGTCCGAATTCTACAGCATACCCATATGGCCGGGCTTTGCCAATAACAAAGCGAAACGTCATGTGCCACAATTGGAAGAAACGGATGCCAACTTCTACACTAAATACGGACACGATGTGTTGTCGGGCATACATCCCAAGGATTTCTCAGCTGCCGAGCTATACGCCTTCCTCGAGGATACGCTGGCGGGCTATGGCTACCATGAGACATGCCTCCTGCGTAGTGTTTGCGAACTAGCCCAGCATCCGTTCGATGACAACCATCAGCATATGCTGACTGATTTTGTGACATTTGTCCTAAGGTCAGTATTTCCCCTAATACTCGTATGTAGAACCTGTCACAAATACCTTCCTACAGTCCCTCACAGCATGAAGGATTCCGGGATGGTGAAACGGTCTACAAGCAGGCCTACGAGTTGGCCGAACAAGATGGGTTCCTAGGCAGGGACTGCCAGCAGCTGTATTCCCATTGTAAGCACGATATCTTACAGCACATAAGCCAAGTTATATTTCACTAGAACGAATAAAAAGCCTAGATGTAAATTGCAGTGTCTGTGTGCGTTTCATTAGCAACTGTTTTGAGCACTAATTAACGCAGTGCGTCAGATTGTTATGTACTCATCGTGAGATTCCGGCTCTGGAGTCACAACAGAATGTATCTCAAGCGCGTCCACTACATTTGTGCTCTGCTGTCACTAGTATTGCCATCGAGCTACGCGGAATTTCCTCTACTCTTTCCGGCCTCATCCGTGTACCAGGTTACCTCCTCTCTTTCCGTTCCCGTGGTTATACCCGATCGTAAGCTCTTCTGGGACTGGGGCCTCCAGATGAACTATGCTTTTCCCAACAAGCCCGCGTCCTTCTATGCCGCCACCATCTGGCCAGATGAGTTCTCGCGGCGTGGCAAGCGTCATGTGCGTAATGAGACCACAAAATACATGCCCCACGGCAGCACAACAGATATGCATCCCAGCGACTTCACGGCCGGGGAGCTGTACGAGAGCCTGGAGAGTATGCTCTCGCGCTATGGCTTCGACGAGACCTGTCTGCTGCGCAGTGTTTGTGAGCTAGCCCGGCACCCCTTCGACGATTCTCACCAGAACATGCTGACGGGTCTGCTGACCTTTACATTGACGTAAGTTGCTTTTTTAGTCTTAGAGGAAACCACATTGATTTCTTTCCCTTGCAGGCCATCCCTGCATGAGGCTTTTGCTCCCAGCGAGACCCTCTATAGGGCAGTATACGAGCATGCCGAGCAGCAGGGGTTTCTGGGTCAGGATTGTGCCAGTTTGTATCCCAATTGCACGGTGGACTTTCTAAGCGGCATAAGCAGACTGCTAAGCTAGCACTCAATCTTTAACTATTGAAGACACTAGCAATTTAAGGAACATATGAGATGATCAGAACTGAATGGTAATGATATATGTAGTCGGAGTAGCAGTCAGAGTCTCTTATATAAATTTAAATAAATGGCACACACAATCGTAAGATTAGACTCCAAACCATTTTTATTTCATCTGACTATCCTGGTGACTAGATTGACAATATCCATCTCACAGCTGGGATAGGCACTTTGGCAGTCGCCACCAAGGAAGCCAATCTGCTCGGCTCGTTCATAGCTATCGCGATAGAGCTGTTCGCCAACCCCAAAGCCTTCATGCTGCGAGGGCCTAGAGTGGAGTAAAAAAACTGTCGATTAGTAACCGCACACTATATGGGGCAGGGCGCTTCACATACGTTAGCAGGAAGGTGATGACTTGCGTGACCAGACCGTATATGTGATCCTCGGCGAAGGGATGCAGCGACAGTTCGCAGACACTGCGCAGAAGACAGGACCTGTGGTAACCGTAGTTCTCTAGCATATGCTCCAAGCCCACGTAGAGCTCTCCCGCGGTGATGTCACTGGGATGCAGGGCACTGTCCATCTGGCTGTTCAGTTGTCGCTTGGAACGACGTGACAGCTCATCCGCCCAAATGGTGGAGTTGTAGAAGGATGAAAGCAGATTGGGCAAATTGTAGTTCATCTGGAATCCCATGTCCATGAAGACCTTTGTTCGCGTTGGCAGATCGAGTGGTATCGATATGGATGAGGTCAATTGCAGCGACGTCGATGCAGGAAACAACAACAGGCCATGTGTGTCTTTAACCGTAATCTGGCCGATGATCAGGCCAATCAATATCAGGGCCGACAGGTTACCGTTGTTCTGCTTTGGGCGACGCATGGCGTTGTGAACCACTTCAAATCCACTGCACATCAGTCCCCGAACCGAACCGGGTTCTTCTTTGTCTATTTGGATCTTTAATTAGACAACTAGTAAATGAGCGGAGTGGAGCATTGACCAGTGGAGCATTCAGCGTGCGTGAGGAACAATTAGAGCGCTCCACAAAAAACCGCTGAAACTAGAACGCATGCTCCTCAAAAGATGTGGTCAGATGTGTTTTGATAAAGCGTGATCTTGGCAATCAATCGATCAATCTTTGTCATATTTTTTACTTTTCTGCTTTTCGGCTAGAATCCCCTTTCATTATACCCGGTAGTTGTTGAGAACAAGGGTATATTGTATGTACAATGTACTTAAGATCCACCTGGCTATTCTAATTCGAAATATATGACGCAGTAGGAAAAATAATTATTTATTCATTCCTAAACCAATAATCCTTTAGAGCCACATAAAATTCTCATTGGAATAATTATTTTAGAGTAGCAGGCCTTTCATACATGGTTCAGCCATCGACTAAATCTATATATATTTTGTTTTCACTTTAACCGATGAAAGGCCATCAATTAACAGAAGAAACAAATCTGATTTGTTCTCCATGGGTGGAATCGAGTCATGTTCCCCCCAGCTGCCAATTTATTAGGCAAACAAATATTGCGTTGTCTCTGGATGGTTCTCAAAGATGGTCCGAATTTGAACAGCGCAATATTAGTTCCAAATTCGACTCAATACAAACAAGATGGTCCAAAGAGTTCAGCCATATCTGTGGCTCTGCCTCACAGTGATCTGCTGCCTCGCTTTTGTGGCGGGCCACACCAAGACCATCTATGGCTCAGATGAGAGCGAGAGCGGGAGCTGGAACAGCAGCCATACCACACTAAGTCGCTCGAAGCGAGTGGCCATCTTTGATGGTCAGGGCGTTGTCAAGGTGGGCATCGACATCGCCAGAGGAAGCAGCATCTACCAAATGTCCATATCCTTTCTCCTCGCCATTTGCAGTTTGTGCCGAGTTTAGCTTATCCTGTGAAGCAAGTGGATAAGGATCAGTCGTTCTGGTGGTTCTTCAACTTTCAGTGCCAATGGATACCCACAACAATTCCGCTCTATTGGTGGAGTTTCTGGAACACAACCGCCTTCGTGTCCACAGCCCGTGAGTGGCGCAAGGATATGCAAACCAAGCTAAAGCATGATGAGGCACGCTCCTGGGTCTACGATGCCATCGAAACTGGCATGGAGCAGTAAGTGGATGGAACCATAGCTTCGATCCGGATTCGTCGATATATCCACCTTTTTCTCCTTTTAGATTGGATGGCGACAACGGAAGTGTGTGCCTGCTGCGTAGTATCTGTGAGATATCCCAGCGCCCCTTTCAGAACAGCAACATTTTCAGCGAAATACTCAATGCGGTCTTGGTGTAAGTACATTTGGTCTCATTGAAAGGGCTCACCTCTTCATAATCACCTGATCCACAGACCCACGCTGGACAATGTGGCGGGGAAGTATCTGCACGCCAGGGATGCGGGACGTGCTGGTGCGGACTGTGCAAAGACCTTCAACGACTGCAGTCCGATACTGTGGACCCTGGTCACGAATATGGCAAAGAATCCCTTCTGAATAAAGTCTACCAATCTATAGTCCAAAATTTTTTTATTTAATTTTTATCCGACAGATCCAGACCTTCTAAATTGGTTGTTTCAATTTGAGTTACTCTTCTGGTCTATTTCTTCCGCAGGGCACGCAGCCGGAACTCGGCCCACATCTCGCACATCATTGGACGTCTATAGCAAGCACATTCGCTGAGGGGCAGGGCACCGGGTTTGAGTCGTCGACACTCTGAGAATGAGGGGTAGGGAGTCAAGGGCTTGCGGCAGTCCGAGGGCACTGGGTAGCGTGTGCAGTCGGGAGGAATGCGACCCTTCTTGTGGCAGCGACGCTTCACCTTCGGACAATCCCCCTCCTCGGGACATGGTGGCGGCCCGCAGGCGGTCTTGGGTTTGCGGTGCTTGCGGCGTTTTACTGGCGGCCCCTTCGCCAGGGCGAAGCAGCAGATCTTCTTCTTCTTTATCTTGAGGGGCGGACACGAGACCCAGGTCTGCCAGTACCTGCGCTTAGCCTTGTCTGACTCCACGTAGTAGATGTCGTCAAATCGGGGATTGAACGGACAGTACGACTCCCCCTCTTCGCAGAAGGGGTTCAGCCACATCGACTTGAACTTCTTTGGCTTCTTCTTCTTGGGCGGTGCCTGCATTTCCGGCTTTCCGCAGGGGTATTTTAATGGCTTGGGGCATTTATCAACCCCTTTTTCGCACCCCTCAAACGTTGACGACAAACGAAAGCAGTTCTTCACGGCGCAAATTAAACTTTGGGGCCGTAAAAAACCTCTTGCTGTGGAAAAGCCGACCATTTTTGTATAAATTTTGTTTGAGGCTTACAACCAATTTCAATTCCAAAAAGTTTTCACGGAGAAAAAATTTTGAATTTCGGAAAAACAAAATAAATTTGCTTTCCGGGCCGGCCCCGATACTGTACTGAGACTATTCCCTTCGCTGCATTACCCTTCCCAATGACACACCGTTGAGATTCATTTCACAGGCTACTGGGTTCTGTATTTATTCATGTTCTGTGTGAGGAAATCCAGAACTCTGTATGGGCAGCTAAGGGCATAGAAATGGGCACAGTCCCTGATATCCATGCGGTGCCTGTACTTTCCATCTGTCACCTCATCGGGCACCCTAAAGCCGGGGATTGGATCTTACTCAAGTGTTTTATTTCCCCTTTTTTTATACTCACGTCAGTATAATCCGCACAAGATCCTCCATTAGGAAGCCTCCATTAAGCCGTGACCTCAATTCACACATGGCTCGCTTTATGCAGCTTCTGATGTCCAACTGGAAACTAAAAGGAAACATAGATTTAATTGGCATTAGACATCTTTATTATCCCAATGCTTACACTCTTCCCATGTCCTCGAGTTGGTCGAATATCGCTCTACGTTCTCTATAGCCGCGATGTAACTTCCAATTGGGAACATGCGACCAGGACTCATAGGCCTCCTCATCGTATTGAGCCTGTCGATGCATTTTCCATGGTGTGGTAGTGGACAAGTGCCAGGGAGTTTGATAAAACGAATTCGCATCGAGATGGGAACTGAAAATTTTCATTTGGTATTGTTATTTGTACATTTATATAATTTCGGTATAAATTTTACCTGGAATACGGCACAGTTCTGTGTATCGGTGTGTGCGTTATATCTGTATATTTAGCCCATCCTTGATTGTCATACCAATCCCAACGTCGCTGGGTAGATGGTTTAGGTCTGAGGCGTTTCAGTATCTTCGGCTGCCAACCTTCGACTGTATCCGGTAAAGGGATATACATATCAAATTCCAGACTATATTGTAGGCCACTTGGTCTTCCGCCCACGATGATCTTGGTTAAGGCAGCAGTCAACAAAAGCGAGGCCTTGTCTGGGAAGACAAGTCCTCGCACTCGCCGCGACAGCAGGACATCCTGTAGGGCTACAGATTTGTCGGACAATTCCGTTTGATTTCTCAAAGCCGCCCAGACGGTGTGGAGATAAAGGAGTACCAAAGTAACGCACCTCATCCCGACGTACCCAGAAGTCAACTGATCTGACACCAACCGGCCTGTCCAAGAAAATTAGCGCCAGACGACAGAGGTGCGCTAATTGATCCAGAACCGAGCTCTTACAGCACTTTGGCCGACAACGTAGGCCTCTGATAATTTGTATGCTTACATGTCACATGAATAACAGAGATAAAATATTAGTGTTGTTTTCATCATCGTTGAGAGAAGACAGAAAATTTGTATACAGTTTGTAGTTATCATTTTAAACAAGATTTTTAACGAAGAATCTTCTTTCAAAAAATTTTAAGTATACAAAATGGTAAACAGGTATTGCAGAAATTTGCTTAACCGTTGCATAGGGCTGATGCGGGCCAACATCCAGAAGGTTCACATCGTTCACCGTGGCCAAAGCCAGCAGCCTGCAGTAGCCACCTCCTTGACCGTGGAGAAGAGGAACAAGTATCGCTCCACGTGGGAGCAGGAAGAGGTCAATCATAGGCGCACTGTAGATTATAGTGCTAGCCAGAGCAACGCCAACGGAGATCGCAGCTACGATGGAACGTGGGTTAACTTCCCTACGGGTCGTCGCTCGTTTATCAATCGTCCTAGCACGGCCAAGCCCTGTAACGATCAAGCCAAGGCCTTCCTTCGCCAGTGGGCAAACCAAAACGATTGATACTCGTAACTGTCAACTGAGCTAACTTTGAAATAAACAGAGTAAGCTATTGCATAAAATTAATCCTAAACTAAATTTCACAATACTTGTTTAGGACGCACAAATAAAATTTATCCATAGCTTTACTGTTGATATCTTACAACTTTGCAGATGTCACTGTTTGCCTTTGTGGGCCAACTGGCTCGGTGCACCTATTTGCCGCCGATCCCACTTCTGCTCTCGCGAATACGTGGTCCGCGGAATATACCCCATATGCCCATCAAAGGTCCCAGGGACTTTGAATACTGGCGTCGTTTGAAACGCAAGAACCCATCTAAGCCGACACGGTTGCCAAAAGTCAAACCCTCACCACGCCGAGGGTCCAGAAGGAAAACAATTCCCAAAAAAATAGAAAAACGAACAGAAAAGTAAGAAGAAAAGGGGAACATCGGTCACAGCCGATAGCCGATATTAGGACAACTACGGACCTAAATCAACGAAATCTAAATTTACTGTAATGCTAGAACCTGAACAAGGGCTATTGAAACGAGGCCTTCCTATAAAAAAAATATTTCTTCCCGGGAAAGTACGATTCATGACTCAAACAAGTTTGCGCGTTGATTGTTTTTAAATTTTAAATTTAAAACGAGGAATATGTATGATGGAACTGGGGTAACTCGTGAGTATATTTATGGTATATGAGACGGTATATTTTGAAAATGAGACGATATATTTTGGTATATTTCTGAATGTCAGACGGTATATTTTATCAATGGGTCCGCGGTAACACTGATGGTAACTTAAACCCCCAACAAAATAAATAATAATTGTGGTTCTTGTATGGCGCTTCTCCGGAACATTTCAAACAGCTTTTGCAGCAGCTTTCGGCGATATGCCAGTAGCGGTTGCACCATATACAGCCTCAGCTCGGGCCACGTCAAGTGCGGCGTTTCCGTGATACGCGTATCCGGTCCACAGACAAAGAGGGCGCTGCGCGCCATCGTTGGATGCAACGATTATGAGCCCAAGGCCCGGCAGGCGTACCTAAAGTCGTTTTTCCATCCCATCAGCAAGGAAATGATCGACAGGGGGCTGCTGCTCTGGTTCCCTGGTCCAGCCTCCTTCACCGGCGAGGATGCTTGCGAGTTTCAGGTGCACGGCTCCCTGGCCGTCATAGCGGCCATGTTGGATGCCCTTGGGCGCCTGGACGGACTGCGACCGGCTGAGCCTGGAGAGTTCACGAAACGTGCGTTCTTTGGCGGTAAACTGGACCTAACGGAGGTCGAGGGACTGGCGGACCTCATTCACGCCGAGACGGAGGCACAAAGGAAGCAAGTGAGATTATCGGCAAACAATGAATAAACATTTCCTGACACTCCTTTCTCTTTCAGGCACTGCTCCAGAGCATGGGAGCACTGGGCCGCCTATACAACAAATGGCGCAAGCGACTCATCCGATGTGCCGCCCACTTGGAGGCCTACATAGACTTTGCCGAGGAGGAGCAAATCGAGGGCGGCGTCATACTGCAGTTGACCAAGGAACTGAAGGCTGTGAGAGGCGAGATCCGCAACCATTTGAATGATCAGCGGCAGGGCGAACTGCTGAGGGATGGTGTGCGTACCGTCATCATCGGAGCACCCAATGTGGGCAAAAGCAGTCTGCTGAACCTGCTCTGCCAGCGATCTGTTTCAATTGTGACCGAGCAGGCGGGCACAACGCGCGACATTATAGAGACAATGCACAACTTTGGCGGATATCCGGTGATATTTTCGGACACGGCCGGTCTGCGGAGGAACACCGCGGACAGCATAGAACGGGAGGGGATGGCCAGAGCAAAGAAATGTCTCGCCGAATCTGATTTAATACTGCTGCTGACCGATGCCATGGCCGTGAGGGAACTGGACAGCAATGAAACGGTGGCTGGTTACGTGGAGAGCTATCTGAACGAATTGGATATTGCCTCGGATCTGTGCAGCGGAAAGCGGGTGCAGCTGGTGGCCAATAAAACCGACACCCTATCACTGGAGGAGTGCCATCGCCTGGACAAGCTGAGCAGCATTCTATCCATCTCTTGCCACAAGCCCGCCAATATGGCCACATTTCTCAACGCCCTCGAGCAGCAGCTGCAGGAGCTGTGCGGCACACCAAGGGCCGAGCATCCGCGCATCACGAACACGCGCTACCGCCAACAACTGGAGCGGTGCATTGAGAACATCGACATATTTCTTAGAGATTACAAGCCAGATGTTTTCCCCGACATGGCCATTGCAGCTGCAAAGCTGCGAAACTCTGTCCGCTGCATCGAACGCATCACGGGTCACGTCAGCTGCGAAGACATACTGGACGTTGTATTCAAAGACTTTTGTATTGGTAAATGACTTGATATTATAATAGATAAGGTGTACATAGCTCCTAAGCGCAAAGTCTGCAATAATTTGTAAAATAAAAGTATTTGAACTTGAATTCAAATTTCTATCTTAACGATGATTCTTGTAATGGCATAGCCGTTTGGTAAAATCATGCATGAATACTCGAACACTCGAATAAAAAGGAGTTCTTAAAATTATACAATCTTGTAGAAAACTGATTTATCAGTTGGATAAAATTAGCCCGAATATCTAAATCGAGGGATCATGGACTGGGTACATTAACCCATTGTTGACCAGTGAGTATTCAAGTACACTCCACGAAAATTATGAATCTTGAATAATTTTAGCTCATTTCAAGTGAAAGTTATCGTGGTCTTTTTTAAAGTTAAGATGGATCTAAAAGTGGGATTATTATTATTATTTGTATCCAGTTTAAATAAAGGGGGTATAAGTGGGCTAACTTCGCTATTCATCGGTATATTTACATTATACGATAAAATTTTTGTTTACGTGTTTCACAAGATTTATTTCGTTTAAAATGTCATCCTGGATCACAGGATTGGCAGATAAGGCCGAGAACATTCTGAACAAGATCGACCAGAATGCGGCCACGGCCCTGCAACTGGAAACGACAGCGTTGGTCACTGGGGATACCATCAATGCCATGAAGAAGAGCATGACCAGCAGCTCCAACTCTTTGTCCCTGAAGTCGACGACGCTGTCCCCAACGAAGCGATCGAGTGCTAGCCCCAGCAATGCTTCCAGCGTGAAGAGCGATCAAGGCGCCTCTGTGAGCAAAAGGATGACCACATCGGCCAGCTTCTCCACGAATCCGGATAGCCTTGGCAGCGCAATGGACACTCATGAGCTGGCGGCCTTTAAGATCGCCTTGAACGAGATCACCGCCGAGCGGGACGAGCTGCGAATGCGACTACACGAGCTGAACCACGACAGCGAGAACTTGGCCCTGCAAGAGCGCAGCCAAGAGCTAGAGATCCTGGCCCAGACACTGTCCGAAGAGCGGGACAAGGCGGTCCACGAGCTAAACGAGGCCCACACCGCACACATGGCGTATGTGCACTCCATCTCAGAGCTGGAAACGAATCTGGCCAAGTTGCAGCAGGAATACATGAGCGCTGCCCACAAACTACAGATGCAGACAAAGGAGACGGAACAGCATCGCCTCGAGTTGCACGAATACCGCACCAAGGCCCAGCGAGCCCTCCAGGCTAAAGATGCCCTGATAGCAGAACTCAAGGCGAAGCCCAGAGAAGAAGCGAGTGGAGAGGCCCATAACAGCGAGACCCGTCTTCTACAAATCGAATACGATGCTCTAAAACAGGAGCTGGAGCATGCCCACGAAGAAGTGCTCAAAATGCGTCTGCAGTTGGAGGATAACGTGGCGCAGGAGAAGCAACGCGAACTGGAGCTCAGCTCTGCGCGTCAGCGGGAGGAGTCTCTGGCCAAGGAGCTGCGACAGGCACGCGAATACAGTCTCACCTCCGAATCGGAACAGCGCATGCTCACCCAGGAGCTAGCCTCGATGCGACAGCAGCTTAGCAATCAGATGGCCGCTGCTGCCACTCGCCTGCAAGAACGGGAGCAACAGGTACAACAGCTGCGCCAGCGCCTCAGCGGTGAGGTCCACACCAGTGCCAAGAACGACTACGAGAGTCGACTGAAGGCCTTGACACAGTCGCTGGTCGAGCGCCAGGGTCTGCTGGAGCGCGTGACGGGCGAGAGGAATGCTCTGCGCCTGCAGTACGAAAACATGCAGACGCAACTGCAGCAGAACCAGCATTTGGTGCAGATTGAGAGCCAGAGAGGGAGTCGCCACACAATCCTCTCGAATAGCACAGATGATGGTGGGTAGCCCCTCATTCAGTTATCAGGACTTTTCATCACAATTTTTCCAAACCATTCCACAGTCAAGGCCCAATTCCCGGTGCTGATGCATCCCAGTCCGTTTGATAATCGTGTGGCTCGTCGCTTCAAGCGGGCCCTCCGCCAAGCCGACTCGGTTGGCATCCGCGTGGGCACCTTCCTGCGTCGCTATCCGATGATGCGTGTCTCTGTTATTGTCTATGTGGCGCTGCTGCATCTCTGGGTGATGTTCGTGCTGCTCTCGACGACGCCGAATTAAGCCGTAAGGTGGTAGGTTAATCTATTTAATTGAGCAATGGCTTTATTTGCAAATATTTGTGTGTGTGTATTGTATTTAACTCTGCAGCCAAAATTGGGGGTACAGATACAACGAGGCTCTACAAGAGTACGAGTGTAAGTGTCATGTTTCGGAGTTGCAACAAGTTGTATATATCGTATCGTATATCATATATCGTATTTGTATCCTTGTATCGTGTGTATCGTGTTCTAAATTCAATAAACATCCACTATGTACAGAAATCGCGATTGTTGTTTAAACACTAACAACATTTTTAAGCAAACAATTATAACAAGGGCCAAAAAATTCACACTACTAAGTTAAGTAAAAGAACGTTTCGTCACAGTTCAAATATTGCATACAGAATTTCCACTATCCATCCACTAAAGATCTCAATATATAGAGAGAGCTGTAAGTACTTGATAAATGTGATTGGTTTGCATTGGTTTAACGCGGAAGTAAATAGAGAGACGAACAGAGAGAGTTGGCATCAGTAATAAAGGCTTTTGGGGCGATTCGCGTAGAACGAACGCTAGATGCCCCTCAGGCGCTTATATCAGTCATCAGAATAATAGCTCACATAAACGGCATCGCCACCGACGCTAATCAAACACTGGCCCTAAACAAGACAAAGAAGAGTTAAACAGAGCTGGCAATAGCTTGAGCGGTAGTGGCTGTCTGCTTACCTGATTCTTGTGCTGATTATCGAACAATATTAGTTCGGTGATGTAGAAGGAGACCATTGCGTTGCCCCCCAAAGATGCTATGTGTGCACGCACCACTGCCAGCAGTTCGGTGATGAACCCATGGACAAATCCACTAATGCCGCCAATCTCCCGTATGGAAGTGCTCTCCCTGATGAAGAAGAAGTTCAAGTTACCCAAATACTTTTCGATGCGGCCGCCGGGTATGAAACTCAGCGGCGTCAAATCCACTCCATAGCGATCGCGCAAGGGGAACTGTGTCAAAGAAAGGAAGAGGTCAAGCATGCTGTTTAGCTACCACTAGCATCTCCAATGGCTCCAGACTTACATATCGATTCCTGGAGACTGATCCACCCAAGTTCAGCGACTTGACTCCTGTGGAGGACGGCGGCACTCCCGACGACAGATTGCCGAGCCGTGAAGGCGATGTTTTGCGCACTTTGAACGAGCTCATGCCAAACGGCGGTATGGCCGTGCTGGTCGGTGTCGGTGTATCCACCATTTGATCCTCGTCCAGGGGGAAAATGTAATCCTCTTCCTGCAGCATTCGTTTGCCATTCGCCAGCTCTGGCTGCGAATGAGCTGCGTGCACTATTGTGGCGGCCTCGTGGAAGCCGTTCTGCTGCTGAAGCTGTTGCACCGGTCGTCGACGGTATTTCATTTTGTTGGCATCGCTCAGTCCCATGGCCATGCCAGTGACCAGAAGTTGGATTTGATCCTACAGCCATATAAATATATGTAGTTTTATGTGAAAAGAGTATTGATCTTCCCAAAGACCATGAAATACCAAGATATTGCATCAGAAACATATTCCATTTCAATTTTCTAGGCGCGCGGTGTACTTGTACTTCAATTCTCTTTTGTGCGCTTCACCAAAAACTGTGCATAATTTGCTATTGGGTTCTAGGGACTGACGGTCCGCTTTCAGAGAAAAAGCATAGGTGAAGAGAGAATTGAAACCCAGCAAGCACCCTCTGTCAGCGGGGCATCACGAAAAACCCCGCATAAAACAGTTTTTTGGTATCGTCTCTCATGCAACATCTTTATATTGGTTTTACTCTTACGCACCGTCTCGGGTAGTTCCAGCCTGAAGCGTAGATCGCAGATGGCACAGGGTATCATGGTGCGCAACTTGAAGTAGATGGTCTGCAGCAGACTGTGGAAAAGAGAGCCAGATTTAGTGGGCACGTTTAACAGGGGGGAAATCCCTACACTCACCGCTGAAAGTGCTTGGGGAACCCATTGACATTCTGCCCAACCTCAAGACGCGCCCGCCACACTTGTGTGAACATCTGTAGACTCTTTACCGTGTCCATTTCGAGCATACCCGGCACCTGCTGTGTGTTGACCACGTGGAAGCCCTCTGGGGGATACGGTTCCATGAGCAGCGATATGATCTCCAGATCCTCTATATCATCCACCTCCAGGACACAGAGCTCTTTGTTTCCGCAATTCAAATCGATTTCGTTCATTTCCTCTTCGTCGGAGTCGTCTGTGTCCGACTGCTTATCGCCAGCGGCGCCACCAGAGGCTCCGGCTGCCGTTGCCGTTGCCGCATTTGCAGCCAAGTCGGGGTCCATGCTCTTCAGCTGATAGATCTCCTGATTGCGCTCGAACGTCTCCTGCAATTTCTTCTGCAACTCATTCAGCTTCTGCTTGTCCGTCCACGAGTTGCCGGCCACAATTTTCGGCACCTGTGGCACCGGCAGGGCCGTGAGGAAGAGTGCCGTGCCCGTGGCTATCAACGCTATCATGCGCTCACCAATAGCCACCTGGGTGCGCAGTCCGAAGATGGCATTCATGCCCTTGGCCTTGAGCTTGTTGATCAGCACGCGATGCAGTTCGTACTCGAGAAATGGCAGACCATCGGATATCTCTTTAGCATTCAGCTCGGCCCGCAGATCCCGCTTGGCGCGCACCACCTGGGCCTGCATGAAGCATCCGCGCCCCGTGACCTGCATGTACTCGGGCACCTCGAGCGTTGCCAGCAGGACATCTGGCACGCGTCCCTTCCGGCATATGGCGCACTTCTTCATCTTCACATTGAACGGCACAGAACTGAGGTTGTAGGGTATGTGGCAGATGGCGCAGGCGTTGCGCGGTCCATTTAGCGGTGGCATGCCGTAACGCTTGCCCCCCGAACTGTTGCCGGTGCCCACCGAGCCGTTGTCCTTGCTAGCACTCGGCTCCCCGCTGCTGCTGCCATTTGCCTCGCGCTCCTCCAGGGAATTCGTCATGGCATTTCCCGTCGTCGCCTTCGCCATGGCGTACAGATCGGTTTGCGAGACCGAGCGATTGAACACCATGTTGATGACGGCAGCAGTTCCAGTGGCAGACAAAACACAGACGTCGTCGCTGCAAGCACTCAAAGCATGAGGATTATTTATGGAGAGGTAGGTGAGAGATCTCTTACGATATGGTGGTGGTCTCAGCATAGCCCAGGACCACATTACAGCCCAGGGAGCGGGCATGCGAACGGATCTCCATGCGCAGCTCCGTCCACCAGCTGTCCCGCACTTCCGGCTCATCCGGATTAGGCACTCGCTCCAACAGCTTGACCGAACTGGCCGCCACCGTCGCCCCCAGGTGGAGGATGAAGCCCGTTGGGTATTTTGTCATGGTCAGAAAGGGATACTCCAGCATATCCAGGCTATCCGCAGCGGTGCCGGCCTTGGTCCCAACAGCGGGCTGCGTTAGACGCATCATCGCCGTGGCGGCCACCAGACGCTCGCTGGCCACGCAAATTGAGTTTCCTGTGAATTGCATATTAAAAAGAGCCAAAGATCAATGAAATATCGCTTAAATATCAGACTATAACCATTTGGAACCAAGGAGCAAAGGCTGACACATAGAATACATTTATGTATATATTTACAGAGTTATCTTAAGTCTAAAGAATCGGATTCTCAGAAATGGTTGGGATATGTATGCAATTAATGAAAGTTTTATCCCTAAATCGTTTATTGGTTCATAAACTGTACATTCGTTAAGATCTACACGTATCAGGATAGTTATAATCTGTTCTTTTCATTACTTTTATGTAGGGAGAGATTTTAAATTACCAAAATGTTTCTATTGAAACTTTATACCTTTCGTGGTATTCAGTTCGTATGCTTGGATTATAATCATGTAACACCTGATATCTATCACTAATTCCCTTCCTCTCCTCAAGGGACTAATCCTAACATACCTTTCCCGTAATTGGTATTCATTTGTGTAATTGTTGATGCATGCTTAGATCTTTTAGTTTAGTTTAGTTCTGATTTTCCTCGACCATTAGTCGAACATATATATTTCCTGCATGTCTGTACATTCAGTTACATATCACGCGCTATGCGGAAGCGCCCATCGGTTGGTTGGTCTAGAAGTAGACTGCGTAACAAGCAATCATTGCAGGTCAACGTCCTAAAAAATGTTGTATGAGGCATCACATCTGTATCCGTGTTATCCAACACGCGAGAGAGCTTCACAGCTAAAGGATTTGCATTTGAAATTGATCACTATACAGTCCCATTTGTTACATTAAGGCAAATAATCCCTTAAAATATCTTAGTTTAGGGAAAAATATATATGGCAGTACATCGAATGAACGGATGAAAGAATCGCAAGAGACAGCTTTAGTAAGGATTGAGGAGAGCACAATGAACAACCAGAGAGAGAGAGAGATATACAGATACAGTGAGAGGTAGAGAGGCAGGCAGAGGCACACTTAGACGACACACAATTAACATCGAGAATGGACATCGAGAGAGTGTTAGGCAGAGAGTCACAGCTACTTACGCTTGCGATGAAGGAATGTAAAGGCTATGCCTGTGTTGGTGGAGTGCAGCAGCAGACGCAAAGAGAGAACGTTGAAAGAGACGTTTATCGTTTTTATCGGTTACTCAAAGACAGACCAAACACACACAAGGGGCAGCAGCAGCAGTAGGTGGCAGGTGGAAGGTGGACTTATGGGGAATGCTTATCCTAGAGCCTTAGCTAAAGCCTTAACTAGAAGTAGTCCCCCAGTGACTGTCCCCGGACATACCTTTGGGCGTGACACTCAGATCGGAGTCGGAGGAACGACGACAAATCTCTCCAACGGTGGCCGGCACCATTGTGGTGGCCGTCGATGCGGTCGACGTGGAAGCACTATCAGCATTCGTTGCAGCCGATATCCCACTTTTGGACGGACTGGGCGTCATCTTAAGGCGACTGCTGTTCACCGGCGAGGGTAGGCGCCAACTTGCTGGCGTTCCTGGTGGTGGTGTGGCTTGAGCTACGGCTGCACCTGCTCCTGCTCCTGCTCCTGATCCTGCAACTGCCTGCTGTTGGATGTCAGTACTGGACCTAGGTTGTTGTCGTTGTCGTGGTAGTTGTTGTTTGATGGCAAATGGAGCAAGCAATGATGATTCATTATTGTTGTTACTAAGGTTAGTACTATTAGAGATATTTACAGAATGATCTAATTGGGCACCAATAACAAAAGGATTATTATAATCAAAGGAGGGGACTAGTAGCTCGGACTTTGTGGGTGTCTGGGGTGTGGGTGTCGAGGG